AACACAAGTTTCTACTTTTGCCAAATTTGGTCTTTTAACAGTGAAAGATGACTAACACGCATTCAGTTAATGGTACAATGGGGAGAAAAGTTTTTTAATCACATGTTCATATGTATAATGCAAATACAAATGGTGAAAAAAACGATTTCCATAGTTTCGTGAACATTATTGCATATATTTCCCAAGGGTTGATTTTTGCATTTTATTGGTACAAGTTTATTCATTGGTTCTCGGATTTCGTTTTTGGTGTATATACTATTCTATACGTCGAGTGTACTATGATATAAAAATACGTTTAAGGGAATACAACACAAGAAAGATCTCTTGTTGATTAAAAAAAACAATGACACAATGTCAATTGTTATATACACAATCGAATTATTCAAAGACAAAATATACCTTTATGACTTACTCTTAAATATTTTTGGTTGAAAATTGCATTTATGTGAATTCAAAAAATTCTATTTTTCGATTCTTTACCCACAAACAAAAACTATCCAGATGGAAAAAGATAATTTCCGTCATGTTTTTTTTTCAAAATATTTCATAACTTATATCTTTCAAGTAAGTTAGTGACAGTAGAATGCGATAATATATTTGTGAAATCATACAATACAATCATAAATTTTAGTCTTAGATACATGATGATTTTTTTAGCTGTCAGGAACTGCCAGTACTCTCAGATCTTTACTTAGTGTCTTATTGTTTTTAAGATATATAGGTACCTGCCCAGGTCCACTTTGTGTTTTTGTTAGATGTATTTCTATTTGTATCCATCTGATGAGTAAAGCATTTTTATAGTTTGTTCTTATGTTGTACTGTTACACCACCGTCCCATGTAAAGGGAGGGTTGAGCGCTCACAAAAATGTGGAACTCCGCCACATGCAGGTGACTGTCCCAAGTCAGGAGCTTTTAGTTCAGTGGTTGTCGTTGGTTCATGTCTTACAAATTTGTTTTTCGTAAATTGTTTTGTTATAAATAAGGCCGTTAGTTTTCTCATTTGAATTATTTCATATGTTTCCTGTCGGGGCCTTTTATAGCCGACGATACGGTATGGGTTTTTCTAATTGTTGAAGGCCGTACGGTTGCCTATAGTTGCTTACATCCACTTCATGTGAATTTTGATGAATAGTTACTTCATTGGCAATCATACCATACTCTTTATTTTTATAATAATTAATTATAGACAATTTACTTGCCAATACAAATGCACATAGGAAGCATCTAATTGATCATTTCTTAATATTTCGATATAACATTCCTGAGGCAATGAATAGTTGGCTGTTGAGGAAACAAAAAGTGGTTCATGTGCACATATATAGCTGAAACAAAAAAAAATCTTTTAATAAGATCACATTTCCCTTTTTTGGCGATAGATTACGTCACAATATCGTCGTGTAGCAATTCCATCTATACGGCAAAAACCTATAACAATTTCTGTTATATACGAACCGCTTTGATTACGTTTGTGATTTACCCGTGAGTTTTTGTATGCTTATCGTTAGCAACGCTGCGAAAACAATAAATTAAATTATTTCCTGTCTTTGCTACTCTATCACATACACTAAACTTTGCACAACTTCGATGATGATTGAAGTGTTTAACGACCTTCACTGGCTATACAGCCCTCGCATGGTCGCACAACTTTGATTAATGCACTGCTGCCTTATATATACAACTTAAAAGCGCTGCAACGTACAGCTTATTTTGACCTTTTTGCGTATTATTCATAATATAATGAAAGTCCACGTTGAATGATACGCTACTGTGATTATCCTACATCATTTGAATAGAATATCATAGACTTTTAGTCATTCAATAAACGAATCCACAAGGAAAAGAAGATAACATAAATTCTATTCAGAAGAAATGCCTGTTCATGTGTTTATAATATTTTGAAAAACCAGTTGTAGACTTCTGTAGTGTAGGTATCCAATACAGTGATGGAAGATCCAGTTTTTCATCTTTTGTTGAAATTCCAAAGAACATAGAACAGACCTATAATTTTCCAGGATTTACTCTTTAGTAAGTGTCGTGGGGGTATATGTTGTGTTTTCAAGTGAATTATCAATACCTAATTCATTTATCAAGCAGTTTATGTAATGAGGTTTACACACAGAAACGATGTTGTTTGGGGCTTTATCTGCGCGGAAAACAATATATTTGTCATGGAGGTAGGACAAGTGTTTTGCAACATTTGGTTTAGAGATTGACGTAGCATGGGTATTGATAGACCCATTCAGTTTCTTAATTCTGATTTGTACCAACAACCTCACAACCTTAATCCATTCGAAAAGAGTATATTCGTCTTCTTTGTCGCGTTTAATTTATTGCCTGGCATCATCCGCGACTGAATTCTTCAGTATTTTGAAGTTGTGTTTCCAATTGAAATGTCAACTGTTAGAGACTCCTTGGAACTTATCAATACAAGTTATTACATTTGATCGTCGTCATGAATGGGCACTCTGATTGTGTAGCTTATTGTAGAATATTTTTTCCTCTCTATATCTATAGTTCTATTGTAAATGATCTGTTTACCACACTCTGTTCGTGCTGTTTACTTTTATTTGATTTAAAAAGGGATAGTGTTTGTGTCAAAAGTTACCTTCCTTTCACAGCGACCTATTAATGTAATACATATTTCTTTTACTCATTGTCATTTAATATATTGTTTTGATAATTTACAGTGTTTTATTGCTAAACTTTGAATTCAACAATTGTATTTCTTTTTATAATTAAAACAGTCTAATTTGAATCTTTGTATTCTAATATATCACTTAATCCGAATTCATTCTATTTTGTGAACATCGTGTGTAACGTTAAGCAGTCACTTTACCAGGTATAACACAGAACATATTTGCTTTTTTGCAGTGTTCGATGACTATGGAACAAATTAGGAACATTTGTCCACTATTTAAATGACTTGGTACAGGTATTTCCTTATGTATTTTGACTGTATTTTTAAATAAATTTAAAAGAGATTTATCATGCTTATGACTCGTCTATCTGTCAATTATGTTGTATTGTTTTAAACGGTTAATAGTAAACGACAGTAACTTTTAGTTGAAAGATATTCGTAACATTGAGTTGCATCAATTCTTGAAAATTATTCTTTCTTTTGGTTTCCATGCTGTTTCTTTTTTTCTTGGTGTCTACCTAAGCATTTATAAAGGCAATGCACATGCGGTACTCACAGGCTATTACTGTAGAAGATCAAGATCATATGTTAATGATGCACCATGTGCGACTACAAAATTCAATTTGAAACAGCAGCACATATCCTACTAATAGAGGATACGTGTGCAACGTTATGCAACAGCACTTGACATGATGGTGAAATATTATTGTTTGGTTTCAGTGATTACAATTTCCTGTAAAACTATATCAAGAAATGAGATGTCATTTTTAGTTTCGATTAGTGAGTCCCAATGCAGCATTATACAAAAATAAAATCCCGCTAGTTCATTGTATGCTTAACTCGATACCTATTAAAATATTTAACATTCTAATAGTGCAAAATTATTGAAGTTACTGTCTCAATGTGCTTAAACTGTACGACCGTACGTAGACCTATAGTTGTTAACTTATACATGTTCTATGTCATTTGGTCTCTGGTAAAGAGTTGTCTCATTGGCAATCATACCACATCTTCTTATTTTTATATTAAGTTTAAATTCAGAGAAAAAATCGAACGTCCTATCAGTGTGAACTAAAAGGAAATATTGGATATAAATCAATGAGACAGCTTCAGAACGACCACTTTCTTAGCTTTTCGTACTTCGATGCAGTTCCTGATAGGTTTATGACAGTGTAGTTGCAAGGACATTATTCAACATAATAATCGAAAACTTTATCATGTTTATATAAAAGAAAAACAGAAATAAAAAGCTTAGAAACACGACACGTCGCGCGCTTGACAAAAAATCATGCGAATCATATTAACTTTTATTCTCATACAATCTTGGACCCTTATCAACGTATTTTTTTTTTGGGGTATCGCAAAGATAGTTTCATGTTTATATATTAAAATGACTCATGTTTATATATATATATATACATTTATTTGTTTGTGAAATGTCGGTTTCAGCTGTGTCTCTCCTTGCATTGCTTTTTATGATTATGTGTTTAATAATGAAAACAGATCAAAGGTATGAAGCTGATAACTAGTTACGTCAGGCGAGCATTCATCAACATAGGACGCACTAGTTGCCCTGGAATCAAAACGAAGAGGTAAATCCAGAAAGGTGTTTCGAACGCATGAACTTATAAAGTGTTGTATTCATTTTTTACATCGCTGGGTCGATAACGCTGCTGGTTTACTATTAGTCCCCGAGGGTATTTTCAGCTCAGTAGTCAATACGTCGGTACTGACATGATTAATAATAAACCTTTCATCAACTGACCGTTTATCAATTCATAAATTATTGAATAAATAAAACTAAGGTTTCAACTTAAATATTATTTACGGTCCTTTTGGTCATTAATCTCCTCAGTTGTTTCGACTTTGATAGTTTTTTGACATCCTTGGCTTTTACAATTTTTGGCTGTGAGTGTTTATGAAGGTAAACACAGAAACACGCTTCGGATGTATGATTAATAAAGTGATTTTTCATTTTTTGAAGAGCATTAAAGCCGTACAATGCCAACATGATGTGCAAATACGGCTAAGGCAATCTATAACTGTCGGTAGAAAATGAAAAAAACAGAATGTGTCTTTATAGATTCATCGATATATTAACCCAATTCTAATATAAGCATATAAACAACCCCAATTTTTGCTGTCCATTTTTAATACTTTCGTACTGAATACAAATTATCAAATATATAGTGCTTATATCTGGCTTGAAAAATATGTACACGGAAATATTTGATAGGGGCAATGTGTCATTAAACAATATAATTGTTTCAATAGCTGATTTCCGATTTCCTTGGCAATAGTGACAGGAATAGATTTGTAGCATTTAATTTACATTATTTTTTTTCTGTAAATGTAAATTAATTTTAATTTTTTTCTTACAGTTTACTTGTTGCAATGATGCCCTTGATCATCTATCATGAAAGACTATATACAAACTTCTAAGGTAAGTAAGCTGTCCCTACAAATATCATTTATTGTACTATTATTTCGTACAAATGTTGCATTAAACAATTTTAACAGTGCCTCGTACAAATTTGAGTACAAAAGATGTAGGAAAGACCCAAACTATACATTCACGCTATATTAACAAATATATGTACTGTTGCTAATGTTGACAAATCCTAAAAAAAATATAACAAGTTCTAAATAATCTAAGTGTACAAACAATACTTTAAAACAGAAGAAAAAGACAATAAATTTAGTGTTATCCTTAAATGATTTTAGTACCTTATGCTCAATAGATATAAGAAGATCGGTATGAGTGCAAATGAGACAACTCTCCATCCAAGTCACAATTAGTAAAAAGTAAACCATTATAGGTCAAAGTACGGCCTTCAACACGGAGCCTTGGCTCACACCAAACAGCAAGATATAAAGGGTCCCAAAAATGACTAGTGTAAAACCATTCAAACAGAAACCAATGGTCTAATCTATATAAAAGACGAAAAACGAGAAACACATATGAACCACATCAACAAACGACAACCACTGAACAACAGGTTCCTGACTTAAGACAGGTGCAAACAAATGCTTGTTTCTTTAAATTAAATGTTATTCAAAATTATTTAAGAATGGTAAATATTGTCATTTTTAGGTCCGATGTATTTTTAGACGATTATATAACATACTTAATTATTACCTTAAAATTAAAAAAAACAAAATAGAACCACTTATGTGACCCGCCATGATATTTCCAGGCTTACGGTGGTATAACGTCGTTGTGAGAAAAACGCCGTTAACTATGAACGTTATGTGACATTTTGTAAACATACTGAATTGAAATTCTAAATGATTTTTAGCATTGGTGCATTGTACATCACATTTTGTTTCTAATGAAAGTTATGAAATAACAATTAAAAATGTAATAAAGGTACTACATTCTTTATTTCTTAAAAACCATACCAATGATGCTATACTCACCATGTATTCACCATACAATGTTAGTGTTAAATAATAACAGCCAATACTAAGAAAACAGTTATACACCTTCATGATTGTAGCCTAATGGTTTTTATGGTTATCGTATTTGAATATGATTTAATCTCTTTTCAAGTATCTTATTTTAGAACATACTGGTGCTAGTAAAAACGGGTACCAAATCTTGCCTTTAGTCTAAAGCAAATGAAATTAGTAGGTAGAACACTCATCAAATGTCCACGCAAACATGGAAAAATCGTTACTAATTTACAGAATAAGTAGGTTATACAGTTTTTAAAATGTCATGAAAGATCATTTCAAAGAATATCACAATATTATGTCGTAAAAATAAAAAATCCAACAGCATTCAGGTATAGTTTTAGCAAATAATATTCCTGAAAAACTTTAAATACTTTTTATAAGTTTTTGTTTTTGTCTAACATTTCAAACTAAGACTGTTTCCCATTATACATACTCTTCAGGGCTATTGACCACATACATATGTAAGATATTTTAGTTTCTATAAGAATGCATGTATCATTAGGAGAATCAGTCTGTTTACTTAATGAATGTGTATTTCGTTGTGTGAATGTTATGATTATGAAAAATCCCATTTCCCAACGTGCAATATCATATATAGTTGACTCAGGTTTAGAAAAAAAATGATATGTAGCAATCAAATTGATGGACTTGAAGGGCAACTCTTTGTTAAATTGTTTTTAAATAAACAACCACCTTAAATATATAAAGCGTCCGTTTTTGTGGAGAAAGAACACTACAATACAAAAACATCTTTTAGATTTCATTTCCAATATTTGTATTAGAGATAGATCGTAGATCTTTTAATTCTGTAATATCCCCGATTCTATAAAGATTGATTTGCTGAGTATTACTCTAAGATTGGGTTGAAATAATAATAAAAAAATAATCATAGTATTACTCTGTTATAACAATTATTTTAAAGCAGTAATATCTGAAAAAATATTGGCAATACAACACTATAATATTTTTTGTTTGTGAACTTCCGATGTCCAACTAGTATAAGTCTGACAAAAAGTCCTAGAATGTAAATATCTCGTTCTATAGTTGTATAGGGATATAAACCATTGCACCTGGATATAACCTATATAGCTATCACTATTTTTTATCAAAAATGGACATAGAACATTATAAGAATCAAACGACAATCTGTCTATGTCCAGTCAATTAATGTAAGTCGGTAGACGTGAAGATATGTGATGAATTACTAGGAGTCCAGATCCCCAAAATACCCATTTATAAGCAAACAGAAAGATCAGAATCAATATAAGACATTTATCATAGAAGTATAAAAAGTCGTTGTTTTGTTAGCATGGTATATTTAAAATATATTATACTTCATAAGTTGAAGCCTGGTAAAAATAATATATAAATGGTGTCGGCCATCTGGGATGATGGATCGCCTACAAAGTTATAACACTTGGTCAACACCTCATAAGGAACATTCATGCCATATTTTATTTCATTCCATTCAATTGTTCTCGAAAATAAGACATTTGTATGTATTTCCTATAGGGTCCTATGTTAAACTAAGTCCCCCTCTGGCGGCCATCTTGGATGATGGATCGGCTTCAAAGTAAAAACACTTGGTCAGCACCTCATAAGGAACATTCATGCTATGTTTGGTTTCATTCCATTCAGTGGTTTTCTAAAAGAAGACATTTGTATGTATTGTCCATAAGGTCCTATGCTAAACGAAGTCCCCCGCTGGCGGCCGTCTTGGATGATGGATCGGCTTCAAAGTAACAACACTTGGTCAACACCTCATTAGAAACATTCATGCTTTGTTTGGTTTCATTCCATTCGGTTGTTCTCGAAAAGAAGACATTTGTATGTATTGTCCTTAGGGTCCTATGCTCAACAAAGTTCCCCGCTGGCGGCATCTTGGATGATGGTTCAGCTTCAAAGTAACAACACTTGGTCAGCACCTCATAAGGAACATTCATGCCATGTTTAGTTTCATTCCATTCAGTGGTTCTCTTGAAGAATTTCAAAACGTAAAAAGTTAACGACGACGACGGACGCCAAGTGAATCGACACTCCTGTAATGTAATTATACAAAAAGATCCATTAGACTGCTGTTTCAACAAATCTGTCATCATAACTTGACAGGATGTTTTCTTTGATTAGTACTTGGTGAATATTATTAGTTACATAGTGTGATAGGGAATTTACTGACCCCATATATATCGTATTAGGTCACTAGCTCACTGTGTAACGAATTCATCCTACCGACTATCTTAATATGTGGTATTTAGGCTAGTGGCCTACCAAAGTGAACAAGTATTAGATATTTAGAACCTACTTCCATTGGTCTATACAAAAACAAATGCCAGCAATAACAGCTTGTTAGCTTTTAATATGTTTTATGAATTAAATGCAATCGTTCATCATCAATTTCTTCGTTTGTTGAAAACTTTCAGATTGTTCCCCAACAACGTGTTGTTTTTGGAAAGGGACGTAACACCACTACTAACTGTGTATTGAAATAAACCATGCCTACTAATCCCATATGACATATACACTGTTTCCACGCGGATGCTTTTAACCAATCATACTCCTAGAAATGTATAGGAGGTAAGATAAACAATAAGCTCATTGTACATGTTGTAGACAAGATACGTCCATAAAACTGGAAATTGCATGGCTAGTCACATTTTGTTAATTACTTATATTTAGGTATGACAGGCCAGTGTTTACAAGCCATGCTTCTTACAGTGGCAATTGCAGGTAAGATCGTGTAATTAAAAAAAAATATTAAGTAAAGCTTTCGTTTATGTAATACGAAGTATTATTTTTTTGTTTCGGTATTAAATATGTAAAAAGCACATACATTTCATCAAATTCATCATCATTGCCAACATCATCATCATCATCATCATCGTCCGTGTTATGTCGTTATATCGTTGTTTCCTGTTGTTGTTTTGATGATGACGATTCTGTTTGATAATTAACGTAAGATAATGAAAAAATAATCTACACTTGTTTTATTATTTAACGGAGGAAAATACAGAAAAGTGGGTGAAACGGGACATAAAGTTAAAAGCATTTTCGATGCTTTTATTAATGCGAATGCTGCAATAAATGAATTCTAAGATATTGATGAATAATGAATTTATAGATATTAATGAATAAATGAATCAATTTATACAAATTGTATAAGAATAGCTTATATGGCGTATATTATCTTTATAACATGTTTTTGTTGCATCAGTACCGTTCTATCAATATCAAAAAGTAAAATAAAAAGCATACCGAACAACGAGGAAAACTCAAAATGGACAGCCCCTAATCAAATCGCAAAATCAAAAGCTCAAACACATCAAAAGAATGGATAACAACTGTCATATTCCTGACTTAGTACAGACATTTTCTTTTGTAGAAAATGGTGGATTAAACCTGGTTTTCTTAAAATGTACTTTTATTATTCAAATTTTAATACCTTACATGTATTAATCCTTGCTTTTCATGATCACTTAAACATTAAATCTTGAATACAGGTTTGACGAAAAAAAAAATTAACTACTTTTGATTATTTCATGTTTCAAAATATCATCTGGTACAGGGGCAAAGTGAATCATTTAAAAAAAAAATTCTACGTAAACTGAAAACATATTGTAAACAAAAGTATCATCTTATCTAATGATTCGTTTTGCAATAGTTTCAAATTATTGAAAAAATTGATTCTTCTGTGCTTCATTTAAATATGAGTTTTGGCAATGAAGGTTGGTAGAAATTTTATGACAAACGGGATAACTTCAGCTTCCACATTGTGAAATTTCCATTTCTATGTAGCTACATACCAACAGCACCTGTTTTTATAGTATACATCTTCCAGTTGATACCACATTCCAGAACTTGCATGTCCTATCATGATTTCCTTGATCGAATGTTCTGCTTACATGAAAACTTGTAACAATGGGTTCTAAGTGGTGATGCTGAAGTCATTCATTCGCAGATTTTACGGACTCTATTACGAATCGATTGGCCGTTATGGAATATCTGTTTCACAGATGACGACAGATATTTTCTAATTATCGTTATCACAATCTCGTCATCTTTTCGCGAATGCGACACCATCAAACTAAACAGTTCACCGAATTTGTACTTACATGAGCAACACGACGGGTGTCATATGTGGAACAGAATCTGCCTTTACATCTGGGGAACCTGAGATCGCCCCAGGTTCTGATGGGTTCATGTTGCTCATTCTTTAGTTTTCTATATTGTGTTTTTTTACTGTTGTTTATCTTTTTTTTTCCTTCTACGTATGAGTTTGAATATATACTTTGTGTATATTCCGCCTCGCTTTTGGAAATTAACAATAAAGAATTTGAATAGTGATGCCTTGATGTGTATGATGAAAATCATTTAAATTCGTTAAATGACATTTTTGCATCTTTTTCACAGGATTCACTATAGATACAGATTGTACAGAATATACTCCAAGTAAAGTATTTGGCATAACACATGTAAAATTAAAGTTTAATAGGACTTTTATATGACTGGACTATAAGAAAAAAAATAGAGAACACCCATTTGTTTAGATTTAGATATATTAATTGTAAAGCAATTTCAAACGTCTTATATGTCACAACTGATAGTATTGCTCCCTTATTTAAAAAAATAATTTGCATTTGTAATAGTCCAGTTAAAGTCAATTGTTCCCTGATACTGAAATATCAAATAACTATGTTGGGGTTATTCCATGTTATTCAAGCTACATATGCATCATGTAGAAGCCGCTTGCGCAAAAGCTTTGAAACAATATTATTATTTGAGATTGATAATTATCAGATATAAGCATTGCTGATTAACAGGACATACTTTATATTGAACATTTTTGAATGTTGAAAAATTTGGATATAGAAAAATACACCAAAAGTAAGTTTTGAGTAAGCGATACATTTATATTCATTGTGTTTTAGTGGAAAGTGTGTTTGTTCTGATTGAGCTTATCAATTTAATTTGCTAAATATAGATCAAATGCCCTGTAATAAGACTCTACAGTCAGTGGTTGTTAAATCTGGAGATAGTTTGATATTAAACTGTACCTGCTTTAACAAGTCAAATGGCCAATGGACTGGTCTAGATAGGCGACCATCCTCAGCTTCTGAAAAATATATACCATACACACATGGAACAGATTTGAACCCAAGTTTAAACAAGTCAAAATACATGGTGTTTGGTGGATACGATGATAGCACGTGCTATTTAAAGATTATGAACTTCATGTCAGATGATGATGGTAAATACATGTGTCAGTATATCAGCTCGGAAACAGTTCACATAAATGTATATAACGTAGTTGCGACAAGTAAGTAACATTAACATACCATCTATTCCCTTACAATATATATAACTTAAATACATTTTGATATTTATACAGCGGATACCAGATGATATTGAACAATTACGAATAAAACAGGAAATCCAGTATGTAACAAAACAGATGAATATTTCAAGCAGACATTATTGACAAATAGAATTAGTAGCATAAGGCATCATCAAATGTTAAAAGTAATTGAACAGCGGTATACTACTGTTGTCTTTATTAGTAGTAAAAATTAGTTATTTCACCTTGAAACACTAGGTAAAATATGATTACGGTGCATTGCAATACACTATTTCATTATAACTATATAACAAATTAAGATGGCGAAATTAAAATGTGTGTCCTGATCGTATCAGTACAGACTCAATATCCTTTCCTGTGGTGGTAGTAAGATTAACGGATGATTTTCGTGTTATTGATATTTTAGTTGCTTGTGTATGTGTTATAAAATGTTATTTTGTAGTCATCCGTTTTTATGCCATATGGTTGTTTGTTTACATCAATTATTTCAGTAGTTATGAACATCAAGATGGACATCTTGGCTTCCAACTATGGGGTTTGATTGTTCCTGAGGAATATGAATCTAGAAAAGTGTTTGAAATTTATAAAGTGGTATCTACATTTCGTTTTTGAATTGTTTAAACAGATAATCCTGATCTATACGTTCAAAAGTTTCGTACTCGTTAAGTCCATTAGGTGAATTCAAATCTGGTTCAAACTGCAAAGTTCTAATGATGTATTATATAATATATACATTCAATAGCACATTGATTGGTATATTGAAGGGTCAAACAAGACCAAAATCGCTCTAAAGATATTGAAAAGATGTATACATGTATTTCTATTTGTATCCATCTGTTGAGTTTAGCCTTTTACAACTGATTGTTATAGTTGTTCGAATGTTGTATTGTTTACCACTAGCCCAGATTAGGCGGAGGGTTGGCGCCTTCAAACTAGTTTAAAACCGTCATTTCTGTATGTGTCTGTTCCAAGTCAGAAGCCTGTAATTCAGTGGTTGTCGTTTGTTGCTGTGTATCATATTTGTTTTATCGTTCATCATTTTGTACATAAATCAGGCCGTTGGTTTTCTCGCTTGAAATGTTTTACATTTGTCATTTCGGGGACCTTTATAGCTGACTATGCGGTTTGGGTTTTGCTTACTGCTGAAGGCCGTACTGTGACCTATAGCTGTTAATGTCTGTGTAATTTGGTCTCTTATGGAGAGTTATCTCATTGGCAATCATACAGTTCAGAACGTATTCCCAATTACAGAATATATGGGAGATACGTCTTCAGTAAATCATGATGGAAAGAAAACGAAAACAGAAACATACACGTTTGAAACTAAACGTAAGTATATTTTAAGGTCAAATTCCTTTGTGAAATCAGAGCTCATTTTTATTTGTTTAATCAACATTTAAACATAGAAAAGGGCCTTATTGTTTTAATTCCTTTGCTAAGGCATTAAATGTACTAAATTAATCTGAATAATTTTAAATGTTAATTGTCCATTTTATTCAATGGTGTTTGTTACAAATTCTACACAACGGCCCTTTTCATTAAAAAATAAATAAAAATACAAGGTTATGCAATGTTTAATGGATGTCGCATTTAGAGCAGGATTTGCGCACCCTTCCGGATCACCCGAGATCATCTACTGTTGTTTGTCTGTTGGTACTTGTCGGTTTTTAGCCATGGTGCTGTCGCTGTGTCATGGATTTATGAGTTTGAACACATCGTTGGTATCTTTCCTATTTTTTTCTAATATATCCTACAAAAAAGAGTAAATAGGCGTTAATTATTGGTATGTTTTGGCTCATACAATACATGTTTTTTGGTTTCATTTCTAGTAGGAAATGTTAATATTGAAACATTACTTCGCGGCAATATTTCGCATCAATGCTTCGCCGCATGAATTTATGACTAGAAACTAATAACTTTGCAACATTACAACCTTTTATGAAGATCAGCTCATGTTCGAGTTTAACAGTAGACCATTCACTACATGTCTATATTGATTTTCACTATTATCGAACTCTGCGAATAAATCTAATTTAAATCATATCTTTCACTTGGCACCATTATATTTGTGTTTTGCTGATGTAAGATTCGAAGACATCACATAAGGAGTCATACTGAGTGACGTTTGAGCATCACATAACATGCATTTCTGCAAGAAATCATATTTTTAACTATTTTCTATCAAAAATATTATAAGGTAAATGAAAATAACACTCTATATAAATTAGTGCGCACGATGCGCTTTTCTTTATTTACCTTCATCAGGAATGTTCAACTCCCCAAAATGTAACAGGTAAGGATGTATAAAACTATAAAACGACAACAGCGAAATGCATCTTGTTAATATCGTTCGGCGATCTTATCTCCTATTCACTTTTTTTCTTGACATCGATCCTATTTAACAATGTTTAAAACACCAACTTGACTTCTACAAAAAAAAACAAAAATCAGAAGATATCAAAGGAAAATGAAAATTCATAAGTCGAAGAGAAACCAACATAAACGAGTCAAAAAACGAAAAAAAGACGAAAGAACAAACAACATTTTGCAAAGAGTTATATACATAGCTGAACGCGGCGAAACATAACCAACATAACCGAGTCAAAAAACGAAAAAAAAACGAAAGGACAAACAACAATTTACAAAGCGTTATATACATAACTAAACGCGGCGAAACATAACCAACATAACCGAGTCAATAACGAAAAAAAGACGAAAGGACAAACAACAGTTTACAAAGTGTTATATACATAACTAAACGTGGCGAAACATAACCAACATAACCGAGTCAATAACGAAAAAAAGACGAAAGGACAAACAACAGTTTACAAAGTGTTATATACATAACTGAACGTGGAGAAACATAACCAACATAACCGAGTCAAAAAACGAAAAAAAGACGAAAGGACAAACAACAGTTTACAAAGTGTTATATACATAACTTAACGCGGCGAAACATAACCAACATAACCGAGTCAATAACGAAAAAAAGACGAAAGGACAAACAACAGTTTACAAAGTGTTATATACATAACTAAACGCGGCGAAACATAACCAACATAACCGAGTCAATAACGAAAAAAAGACGAAAGGACAAACAACAGTTTACAAAGTGTTATATACATAACTAAACGCGGCGAAACATAACCAACATAACCGAGTCAATAACGAAAAAAAGACGAAAGGACAAACAACAGTTTACAAAGTGTTATATACATAACTGAACGTGGAGAAACATAACCAACATAACCGAGTCAAAAAACGAAAAAAAGACGAAAGGACAAACAACAGTTTACAAAGTGTTATATACATAACTGAACGTGGCGAAACATAACCAACATAACCGAGTCAAAAAACGAAAAAAAGACGAAAGGACAAACAACAGTTTACAAAGTGTTATATACATAACTGAACGTGGAGAAACATAACCAACATAACCGAGTCAAAAAACGAAAAAAAGACGAAAGGACAAACAACAATTTACAAAGTGTTATATACATAACTGAACGTGGAGAAACATAACCAACATAACCGAGTCAAAATACGAAAAAAAGACGAAAGGACAAATAACAATTTACAAAGTGTTATATACATAACTAAACGCGGCGAAACATAACCAACATGACCGAGTCAAAAAACGAAAAAAAGACGAAAGGACAAACAACAGTTTACAAAGTGTTATATACATAACTGAACGTGGAGAAACATAACCAACATAACCGAGTCAAAAAACGAAAAAAAGACGAAAGGACAAACAACAATTTACAAAGTGTTATATACATAACTGAACGTGGAGAAACATAACCAACATAACCGAGTCAAAATACGAAAAAAAGACGAAAGGACAAATAACAATTTACAAAGTGTTATATACATAACTAAACGCGGCGAAACATAACCAACATGACCGAGTCAAAAAACGAAAAAAAGACGAAAGGACAAACAACAGTTTACAAAGTGTTATATACATAACTTAACGTGGCGAAACATAACCAACATAACCGAGTCAAAAAACGAAAAAAAGACGAAAGGACAAACAACAGTTTACAAAGTGTTATATACAGAACTAAACGCGGCGAAACATTACCCTAACCAACATCCAACTAAGCCAACAAGAAAAATCACATCTTAATCATATTTCTTATCAAACATTGTTAGTCCGTTAAACTTTTAGTCGCAAGAACGGTAATTTTTGAGTCAATGTGAATCTATGTTGGGGGGGGGGGGGGGGGGGGGGATTGTAATTAAGGTGGTACTGTTTCAATCTACATGGTTGTTTGACTTAACGTTAGCATAAAAGGTCATCTAAACGTGACCCCTGATGGAATGTTTTCACTTTACACCTTACACGAACGACATCAGGATATGCTACATGCGGCTAGTATTGATATTGTTATATTTCACATGCAAGTTTTAATTAATTGCATTTTTCTATCAGTTTGCTAATCGGTAGGTACCTGTCGTCGTAGTAATTGTTTTATCTACTGATATATAATAGATTTGTGCTATCTAAATAGGCATCGCGGTTCCTGATAAAACGTCCTTGTCCCTAGAGTGGATGTTGCCTCTGATTGTTATAATAATTACATTTGGTGTAGTAACAACTATTTTACTGTGGCGTAGAAAAGGTAAATTATAAAATTCAGTATATCGATTTTAACAATTTTCATGAAAACATTTCAAAAACAAATAAATAAATAAAAATATTCATGTGATCACATAATGGAAATAATGATGTTTAACGTCCATTGGAAATCATTACTTGCATATCAGGACGAGAAGATGTTGGTGTGATATGCATAATTATAGAAAAAATAGATGATTTGTTATGATTGCCGAAGAGACAACTCTCCACCAGAGACCAAATGACGTACAAGTAAGCAACTAAAGGTCACCGTACGGATTTACACAATGGACAGCAACCCATAAAAGGCTCACAAAATGACAAATATAAAACAATTCAAACGTGAAGTATGCTTTATACTTAACCGATGTGCATAGCTGGATTGGTAAAATGCTAATTTATACATTGATAGTCCAGAGAATCACAATTCTATGTCTAAATACTTTATACTGATTTCATGCCAAACACCAAGCTATCCTAAGACAACCAATGTGGTATATGACATTGATTACGGATATACATGCAATTGATAATCAAATCCTATCATGACAATTTGGATTTTAGAAGTGGTGCTTAATTGACTTAAAATTAAATCACATTTCTTTTCAGACAAAAGTGAAAGCACCACAAGGTATGTGTTCTCTGTCAAGGTTCTCAATCTCCTTACTATGAAAATAAAGAGTTAAAAAAAACATGTGATACAGTTTAAATTTCAATAGTAAAATTGTTGGAATACAAGGTGTTTGAATATAAATAAAAAATATACTCTCCTATCTACATGAAGGGTCGCTTTAAAAAGGGATGTGTTCACCAGAAGTGCACATGGACCTTCAGTTACTTACAAAATGGTAAATAAAACATTGAGCCAACAATAATCTGGATGAAGAGAAATTAAGAAAAACCAAAGACAATTGATTACATATACGTTGAAAAAAAAAATCATTTAAAAACAATCAAGAATTCAATAAAAACACATAAATACAGGCACATAAAAAGTTTGAAATGAGCACAATCTAGTTTGTTTTCACATGCTTTTATATTATGAATTAAGAAACAAATATATTATTCAAATGATTTAACGTGAGCGATATTGTTTAGTTTCCAGAAAGTTTACCTCAAAATATATAATTCAATAACAGTTTTGGTTTTTTATCTATTTTTATTCAAACAATTATTACGGTATGCATACAATATGTAAGATACATTATATAATGATAGTGATTCTAGTTTTTATAATATGATGCTGTTACAGAAATGTATGATGTGTTCCATTCACCGTCTGATTTTTAGAAATTAAGGGATTCATAGTATCGATTTTTTTTTTCGAACATTCAGTTGGATTGAAGATATTGAAGAAAATGCTCAAGGTAACCTTTTCGTGTTAATATTCAGAAAGTGTATGAGGGGCACAAGTACATATTTATTAGAAATTTACATATATTTCTTCCAATTTTACTTTCTTTCTTTCATTCTTCATATTTTGTTTGTTTCTTTCTAATTTTGTGTTTGGTAAAATGTGCTAAAAGCTGCTTATTTATTAATGCCAGTATAGTCAAATGCTGAAGAATGTATCTAAAACGATAGCCCAATACCAGAGTTTTTTTTATAATTTGGTAGTCTTACACTCTAGGTAGCAATACATCCCTACAACATTGTTTTTTCTTTATCTTTCTGGTGATAAAAATCGTAGTAATAGGCCTAATATGGTTTTGCAAACAGTCTGGACCATCAATGACAAATGTCTAGTAGATTAACAAATATGGCAACTTTTTATTACATTCCACAATATATCAAGATATAGCTTACTTGACATTCAGTATTAATTTGATCATAAGTCTCAATTAGAAAAAGCTACGTTGGGTGTACATATTATTTGAATAAGTGCGAAGGTTTTTTTCTTGTTTGATATTTTTGTTTCTTGGATTCTGTTAATTTGAACAACCAAACTTTTCTTTATATGAGACATTTTGAGAAAAACAAATGACAGTTTAACAAAAAAAAGTTTGCATGTTTTGTTATATACATATTCATCATTGTTTATCCTTTTCTTTGCAATTAGGTGATTCGGTTGACAATCGCTTGTACCATGCATCCGAAATTCTTGAAATAAACAATAGACAGAGACATAATAGAGTTAGCCGAAATCAAGCTTTGTCATCCTCTCAAATACATACCGATGAAGGATATAGCGGTGTGAACGGTAAAAGATATTGTATATTTTTATAAACAAAAATTAAGAAGATGTGGAATGATAACAAACGTTTAAATGACGTGGATGTAAGCAATTGTAGACAACCGTACGTTCGTCAACAATGAGAAAACCCCATACCGTATAGTCGGCTATAAAAGGCCCCGACATGTAAAGTGTGATACAATTCCGTTATGAAAACTATCGGCCTAATTTATAACAAAACAATATACGGAAAACAAATATGACAGACACGAACCAACGACAACCACTGAACTACAGGCTCCTGTCGTAAACAGACACACAAAGAATGTGGCGGAGTTAAACATATGTGTAAGCGTTCAACCATATCCTAACCTAAGACAGTTACAAAGTATATTTATCTAAAGTATTTTTATCTAAGCAAACAATAACATACGTTCTAAATGAACATAATCGAATGTTCAAGTATGTAGCTTACTGGCTTGGATTATTTAGAGAGTCTTTGATTGACATATTTATATCAGTTAATATGAATCGAAAATCAGTTAAATGAAGAGAAACTTACTACAAATATTATACATATTACGCACTTTCCTACAAGTCAACATATATTCTATTGTAGATAATATTTCAATAAATATTATATTTCGTAAATAATCGTGTCCATGAACCAATCTTAGCAAAACCTACTAACATTATTGCCTATAGGATATTTTATTTCTTGTCCGTATCGAGTTTCTATATTTTATAAAAAGCCGTGTCCGTTAACAATCCCAGCAAAACATATTAACACCTTTGTCAATAGGTGAATTATATATCGTGTTCGTATATATAATTTCTGTACAGACTTTTCTAATGTTATGCTGCATAAACTATACATTTATTTTGTGGTTACTTCTATCGTAGCCTGATTTGACCTTTCTTATGTAAAATAATTACTGTTAGAAAGGTGTGTGTCTGTGAGAAGATTGCCTGGTTATACTCATTTGCCTATAGGCAATGATTATTCATCTGTAATGATGTGTGGTAATCAAGTAGAAGTCTTCGATTTTCAATGATTTAAAAATGATGAAGCTGCACCTGGTGTTTCGGATATCATTTAGGTCATTTTTACCAAGGCCGTAAATCCTCATCAGGTACCCTAGCCTTGTATAATTATAATTACTACGTAATTACAATTCGATTACTTCTTGCTGTGGTAACATTTCAAATGTTATAGTATTTTTAGGGTACTATATATTTATAGAAACTCGATATGGGACAAGAACTAAAATATCCTATAGGCAATAATATTAATAGGTTTTTCTAAGATTGGTTCATAAACACGATTATTTATAAATTGATTGACATATTTTTATCAGTTAATATGATTCGAAAAATCAGTTAAATAAAGAGAAACTTACTAAAAATATTATACATATTACGCACTTTCCTACAAGTCAACATATATTCCATTGTAGTTAATATTTCAATAAATATTATATATAGTTATATATTTATACGCCATCGTTTTTTTTTTTCCTTTTATACTCTGTCATTGTAATTAATTTTTATTTGATAGTCATACACCCGAGGAAGCTATACGTATTGAATCTCTAAAGAGTAGCATTTTTTCTATTCGATGATAAAAATCGTAGCAATAGGCCTGGTTTTGTAAACAGTCTGGACTATCAATGCAAAATTTGAATAAATTAACAAATTTGGCAGCTTTTTCACATTCCACAACACATCAAGTTATAGTTAACTTAACACTCAGTTTTAATTTGTTCATCAATCTCAATTTAAAAAAAAGGTTCCATTGGATATACATAATGAGTTTAGCTTCCAATCAAAAACTTTAATTGAAAAAATGCGAACCTTTTTTTTTTTAAAGAAGTGGTGGTTTGATTATTTTTATATCTTGACTTCTGTTAGTTTGAACAACCATACTTTTCTTCAAATGAGACATTTTGAAAGAACAACACATATACTTTAAAATAGTAATTGTTGAAGACTGCAAATTATCAATGTGTGTTCTTATCTCCATATATATCAATACATAATGACAGTTTAACAAAAATAAGGTTTGCATGTTTTATTTTATACTTATTCACCAATGTTAATTCTTTTCTTTGAAATTAGGTGAATCGGTTGAAAATCGCATGTACCATGCATCCGAAATTCTTGAAATAAGCAATAGACAGGGACATAATAGAATTAGCCGAAATCAAGCTTTGTCATCCTCTCAAATACATACCGATGAAGGATATAACGGTGTCAGCGGTAAAATATACTATTTAGATTTATATTCATCTTGCTTTGATTTCAAACAAATAATAACATACATGTACGGTCTGAATGAACATATATTCAAGTGATCAAATATTGGATTGTTTAAAAAATCTTTGATTGGCATATTTTTATCAGCTAACATGAATCAAAAAGCAGTTATATAAAGAGAAACTTAAAAAAAAGAAATATATATTTTGCACTTTCCTTCAACCTACATATAATACATTGTAGTGCCGAAAGTGAGGTTAAACAGCAACAATCAAACAATCAATTATTCTTAAGAGCTCTTGATATGTGTGTTGCAATGGTTAGGTTCAATTGGTGAATGCTGTTATTGGGAGATAGTTTTATGTGGAATTTGGAATTGAGTATAAGGTTTACACATCCCTTTTTGCATATGTTTTTATTTTTGATCAATTCATTTTTATTTTATTTTTTTGAAAATTGAAACGCACGATTTCTCAGTAAATCAAGGGTAATGTTTGGGTTTTCAACAACATATGTAATTAAATTTAGAAAGGGCAACGTGTGTAGTGTAATAATAAGAAATGATCTGGGTAAAATGGTGATTGTATTTTATAAGGATTGTAAACGGATTTAGATATATATCATCATATACTTGATAGAATTTAATTTAAAAAATATCAAAAAGGAATTCCATATGCTATTTTTGTCTTCAGCAACAGAATCAGCAATACAAACTAGACATACTCGTAGAGCTAAATTGTCTCAAGGTGTCGACTCACAGGTAAGAATAATTGATTTAAATTTTAATGAACAGTTGTAATATTATGCTTAATTTACTCAGTTATAGAAGATAGCGCAAATTTTTCCAATCAGGATTTACATTATAGTTGTTAATCAATCAAGATTTTTCTCCTTTTCGATTACATGCAATTCAAAAACATAATCCCAATGCGTGATGTCCGCTTCAAAATTAGTCAACATGTCATTTGTATACCTTTAGTTATTATTTTACTTTGTATAGATAATTCCCAAAATATTGCTTTTATTGCAAAAATCTTTTGATTTCTTAGTTATAATCACTATTTTCAGACCAATGGAAGAAACATGCAGTACGCTGAGGTTTCGTTTGATGTCAAACATCCAACACATCGTTTTATTATTCATGGCAATGATGATAGAACAGTTTATTCAGAAATTGATCATTCAATCAGAGCAGAGCCTTTACCGTCGTCAAGTAGTGAAGGTGAAGATAACTGAATGTATTTTGGCGGCAGTAATGACTTTCCTCCATAGTGCAGTGCATAGTTAAGGATATAACATTATTCCTGTGATCGTTGGTAAAAGAATAAAGAGAACCTTCAGCAAATCAAAACAAAACACGTTTTTATTATTTGTGTTATTTACTACTTAACTATAACAATTCATGAAAACATTGGATTATTTGTTATGTACAGATAGTGGACATATTGTTGAAACATTTTTCCTCATTTGTCTCTTTATGTACACTAGGTTTTTTGGCTCTTCTGGTTATATTTGACATATAAATTGTGCTTAAAAGAAAAGAAAAAAGATATTTCCACTGGACATCTTAAGCATCATGAAGGGGCCCGAGTGGTCTAGGTAATCCAACTCTTGTATCACTGAGAATGTTTGTTTATTGAACTAGGATTGTCGTTGTCCTGCCGATTGTCTCTCCTGACATTCCTGCGTTCTCAGTCGATAGAACTTAACCTCCACGAAAAAGCAAATAGTGCTGAAAGTGGTGTTACACACCAAGCAATCAATAAATCAATCAATCAGTAAAAGAAAACTTATTTTGAAAATGCAAAAGAAACATACCTTGACTTGAATGTAACTTAAGACCTATTTCAGTTTGCTTGGCTGAAATTATTGTTTAAAGCATAAACATGGTTATATGGTGTGTAATTTTGACAATATATATATATATATATATATATATATATATATATATATACACGTATACCTAACAACAAAATTATTTTCATTTACCTGTTTTTAAAGTTTTTGCAAATGGCTGATATTTTTGTTCGAGCATATTGTTTTTCTTTAATTGTTTAACATTTCTTACTGATATAACATGTTACTTTTATTATTCCTCCCTTAGTTTATTTATTTTGTATTTACATTGTGTCATAGGTCAAATTTATTTGTTCAGTGTATGTTCAATGGTGTTAATATGTCCTTTGATTGAGTTAAGCTATTTCAGTTGATATTTTATAGTGTGTCTTTCTATGTTTCGATGTTACACTATTGTTTCAGATAAAGGGTGAAGGTTTGGTACCATTAAAACGTTTAAACCCGCTGCATTTGTTTGCACCTGTCCTAAGTCAGGAATCTGATGTTCATTAGTTGTCGTTTGTTGATGTGGTTCATAAGTGTTTCTCGTTTCTCGTTTTTGTTTAGATTAGACCGTTGGTTTTCCCGTTTGAATGGTTTTACACTAGTAATTTTTTGGGTCCCTTTATAGCTTACTGTTCGGTGTGAGGCAAGGCTCCGTGTTGAAGACCGTACTGTGACCTATAATGGTTAACTTTTATAAATTTTGACTTGGATGGAGAGTTGTCTCATTGGCACTCATACCACATCTTCTTATATCTATATATATCTATACTGTAGCACTTAACGTATCAATCACTATCCCAATGTTGGATAAACCCTACAAATAATAACATAATTTGAACAAATTGTATATCTAAGATAAGAAATCAAAACATTTCCAGATATACCATTTTTCTCCCTCAATAAGGTCTTGGGTTCTCTTTGGTTTCTCTAGTATTCCCCGCCTTCTATAAAGTTGCACCCTGATATAACTAAACGTTCCTTCCGTTTCTATTTCACGTATTCGTTACATGACAAGTATCCCAAAACAAAGAAAAGATGAGATATACATAGAAAGATTAATCTAACATGTCTTTCAAGATATTACACAGGTGTTGTTTGTATAAAATATGCTGTAAATAAATAATTTTCGATAAGTTGTAAATTTATTAAAGGATTGCCACATTAAATATTGTATTTGATACATAATTGCTACTGAGATAACCGTCCATCAGAGACCACATGACTTTTTCAACTGATTTTTATAGTTTGTTCATATGTAGTACAGTTACTGTACACCACTGTCCCAGTTTATGAGGAGGGTTTGGGTGTCCGCTGACATGTTTATTCACGCCACATTCTGTATGTGTCTATCCCAACTCAGGAGCCTCTTATTCAGTTGTTGTCCTTATCTGCTGTATATTATATTTCTATTTCGTTCCTTCTTTTTTGCAGAAATGAGTCCGTTAGTTACAGATGTCAATTCTAGTTATAGGAAGATGTAGAATGAGTGCCAATGAGACAACTCTCCATCCAAGTAACAATTTATAAAAGTAAACCATTATAGGTCAAGGTACGGCCTTCAACACGGAGCATTAGCTCACACCAAACAGCAAGCTATAAAGGGCCCCAAAAATTACTAGTGTAAAACCATTAAAACGGGAAAACCAACAGTCTAATCAATATAAAAACGAGAAACGAGAAACACGTATGAACTACATAAACAGACGACAACTACTGTACATCATATTCCAGAATTAGGACAGGTGCAAACATTTGCAGCGGGATTAAATCTAGGCCTTTCACAGCTGACTATGCGGTATTATTTTGAAGGCCGTACGGTGACCTATAGTTGATAACGTCTATGTCATGTGGTCTCTGATGGAGAGTTGTCTCATTGGCAATTATCCCACATCTTCTTATTCTTATATTAAAGGCTTTGACGAGACAAAATATAAAACAATCAATCAAAAAGAAGATCATATTAAAACAATTATGACAAACAACAACCAGGACAATCCATTGAACAGATGTTACAGGCACACACATAATGCGGCGGGGTTAATTATGATTGTTAGCGCTCGATAGTACGACAGTTGTGTAACAGCACTTCATCAAAACAAACTCTTCAAATTAATTGGAGAGAGTTTCACTCACTTGACTCTAATACCGTTTATGAATAATATAAAGAGTATAATAAAGATACCGAACTCCAAGGGAAATTCAACTACACAATTAAAGAGGCTCTAAAGAGCCTGTGTCGCTCACCTTTGTCTATGTGAATAATCAATAAAGGACACTATCCAACATTGTAGACGGGAATAGAATTCAAGACAAAAAAACTCTGTTTTGTCGATCTTGTATTGCTGATCATTTAGACTGTTTAGTTTCTCTCTATCTTCATAGGTTTTTCGCTCAAAACACAAAAGAGGTTAAAAAAAGTCCTCATTTAAGGGATATAACTCCTATAAAGAGTGACAGGCTAATAACTAAAACGGCAAAATTTGACTTGTTCGTAGATCTTACCTTGCTGTTCATTTGTATGATTGAAAGTGTCTATTTATCTATTACAGTTTTATCATATAAGGCAAAACGCAAAAAAAATGGTAAAGATCAATACTTAAAGGATAATATCTCCAATAAGGAGTCGTCGAAAACTTTCCGTCATATGTTTTAATTGTAGATCCGGTCTTGCTGATCATATTTGCTTATTTAAGTTTCTGTCTATCTATTATAATGTTTAAGATATAAGATAAAAAACGCACAAATATTGTAAAAATCGTTATCAAAGGGCAATAACTTTAATGAGGAGTCCCAAGACGATTCGTCTATATATATATTAGACTTATTTTTAGAACTTGGTCATTTTAAAGTTTCTCTCTTTTTTATTAGTTTTTCAAGATAATAGGCAAAAATAAGAAATAAATTTAAATGTTTTCGTTTCAGGGCAATAACAGTTAAAAAACTCCCATGAGAAGTCGTCTCACAGTTTTGGCGTATATAGACATTTGGTAGAGCTCATGATTTTGAACATTTCTGCTGTTGTCAGATTTTCTCTATTTAAAACGGTTTTCAAAATAATGGACAAAACTTGCATTTTTGCCCCTGTGTTCTATTTATAGCAATGTCGGTCATCTTGGTGTACAGGCGGGGTCATTGGACACATCTTTTAAACTAAATACCCTTATGATGATTCTGACGGGATACTAAAATTTCTGACGTTTCTGTTTTAATATCCATATAAACAAAGCCCCTACCCTTCTGCTTACATATACGAAGGATTTGTATAGTTTGAAGACCTTACTATACAAATCCTTGGTATGTGCAATCAAAAGGGAAAGGGAGTAACCTCGAAAGTACATATATTCCCAACCCACTCATTTATATTGCAGATTACAAAATTAAACGCCAATTATTAACTCATACAGCCTACCTTGTTTTGTGTGAATTTTATTTCGTTACATATAACCGCAGTACTGATTCTGTAAAAATGATTGTGTGTGTTAAAATTGTAGGTCTTTGACATATATGTCAATTGTGTGTCTTGTTTATACGGATATTAAAATCCCGTATCCCAAAAATCAGAAAACTTTAGTATCCCGTCAGGATAGTAAGGGATCGATGCTGGACTGCTATATAAACAAATCAATAAACCATACCCCGGCAACGCGCTGAAGTACGTCCATTATTCATTTTTCATTATTAAAATTAAATAATGAATAATGAAATAGTTCATTATTCACTTTTCAACGTTTAGTGATGAATAATGAATAAAGAAATAGATTATATTTCAGTATTAAAGTTGAAAAGTTAATAATGATTGAAAATTAATTTTATAACTGTGACACTAAATGTATATCCCGTATTTCTCAATTCGTCATTTTGGTGTTCAATATTCAAATTAATATCAGAAAAAAACTCAAAACACTCTATGAAATTTCATTCTTTATTTATTTATTTAGTTTCGGAGGATAAACTAGTGGTTTTCCCTAACTATTTTTAGCTGAAATTCCCTGTTTTAATGTATGGACGACCTGAATAGAAAAACATATATAAAAACTAAAATACTATACATTGTATTATTTATATTTTCGCTGGACCTTTCCTATTCTTCATCCCCTGAATATAAAAGTAACTTGTCTATTGTGCCGCAATGCCCTTTAGAGGGGTTATGGAGGACCTTACTGCAAAAATACGCGTAAAAATTAAGAATTAGCCAATTTTGAATAATGGAATGGACTGCTGCGACCCTTCAGCGCCTAATTACAGATTTATCTTATAATACGTCATTCGAAAGCTTATCAATACAGGAACAAAAGGTATATAGTCAATATGTTCCACAACGCCTATTATAGAGGAGTTACAGACGACCTAAATGTCGAAATACGCGTGAACCTTAGGAAATAGCTTATTTTGAATAATGAAATGGACTGCTGCGACCTTTCAGCCCCTAATTACCGAGAAACTTTATACACCATTTGAAAGCTTATCAATAGAGGAACAAAATTGTTAGAATCAGTGTGTGTTACAATAGGGGGGTTACGGAGGACTTAAATGTCAAAATACGAATGCTAATTAAGAAATAGCCAATTTTTAATAATGGAATGGATATTTTGAATTATGCAATGGACTGCTGCGACCCTGCAGCCCCTAATTACCGAGAAACTTTATACATCATTTGAAAACTTATCGATAAAGGAACAAAATGGTTATAACCAATATGCACCGCTATTCGCATTAGAGGGGAAACGGAGGATCTAAAAGCCAAATTACTCATGAAAATAAAAAAAAAAGCCAATTTTGAATAATGGAATGGATATTTTGAATTATGGAATGGACTGCTGCGACCCTGCAGTACCTAATTAAAAAGAAAATTTAAACACCATTTGAAATTTATCGATAGAGGAACAACGCCTATTAGAGGAGTTACAGAGGACCTAAATGTCGAAATAAGCGTGAACATTAAGAAATTTCGAAAGCTTTCGAATGACGTATAGGATATATATTTAATTAGGCGCTGAAGGGTCGCAACAGTCCATTTCATTTTTCAAAATATCCATTCCCTTATTCAAAATTGGCTATTTCTTAATTTTCACGTGTATTTTGGCATTAAGGTCCTCCGTAACCCCTCTAATAGGCATTGCAGCACAATCGACAAGTCACCTCTATAATCAGGGGATGAAGAATAGGAAAGGTCCAGTGAAAATAAAAATAATACAATGTATAGTATTTTAAATTTTATATATGTTTTGGTATTCAGGTCGTCCTGACGAACAAGGAATTTCAGTTGAAAATAGTTAGGGAAAACCACTAGTTTATCCACAAAAACTAAATAAATAAATAAAGATAGAAATTTCAAAGAGTGTTTTGATTTTGTTTTCTTATATTAATTTGAAAATTGAACATCAAAATGACGAATTCAGAAATACGGGATATAGTGTCACAGTCAAAAAAATAATTTTGTATTTCACTTTTCACTTTTCAACTTGAATACTGAAATATAAACTATTTCATTATTCATTCTTCATCACTAAATGTTGAAAAGTGAATAGTGAACTATTTCATTATTCAATATCTAATTTTGAATAATGAAAAATGAATAATGGACGTACTTCAACGCGGTTCGCGAATCAAATACCCCCCCTACCCCCCCCCCCCCCCTCTTTTAATTTAAATGGTTATACCTAACAACAAAATTATTTTCATTTACCTGTGTTTAAAGTTTTTGCAAATGGCTGATATTTTTTTCGAGCATATTGTTTTTCTTTAATTGTTTAACATTTCTTACTGATATAACATGTTACTTTTATTATTCCTCCCTTAGTTTATTTATGTTGTATTTACAGTGTGTCATAGGTCAAATTTATTTGTTCAGTGTATGTTCAATGGTGTTAATATGTCCTTTGTTTGAGTTAAGCTATTTCAGTTGATATTTTATAGTGTGTCTTTCTATGTTTCGATGTTACACTATTGTTTCAGATAAAGGGTGAAGGTTTGGTACCATTAAAACGTTTAAACCCGCTGCATTTGTTTGCACCTGTCCTAAGTCAGGAATCTGATGTTCATTAGTTGTCGTTTGTTGATGTGGTTCATAAGTGTTTCTCGTTTCTCGTTTTTTTTTAGATTAGACCGTTGGTTTTCCCGTTTGAATGGTTTT